CGCTGAATAATCGGCGTGAATACGTCGTACCTACCATGCTAACCAGCTTGTCCTTTTATGATTCTCGTGGTGATAGAGTTAGGCTTTTTCATTGCCTTCGTTATTGTTGTAGTCATCATCGCCGGGGTTTTACAAAACTGATATTATTGCAGTCATTTGGCCATTTCCATCATTAGTAGTTCGATCCGTAGAACGTCCTGGTCGCAATCATTGCGCGGCCCGAAGCCGTCGGATGTCCCATGACCGACGATTAGCCTTCGTGAGTCGCCCATGGGTCACCCCACGGGTCGCCCATGAGTTGCTTATGGCCGCCCATAGATATTCAAGAGATATCGTTTACGACAGTGTTCCTGTTGGGTCCGTTTACCACAGGATGTCCTGGTGGACTTTGAGTTTATATTATGTCATCCTGTGAACGACCCATGGGTCGTAGTTGATATTGGCCGGCCCATATATGGCCCATGGACGGTCGGTAGGTGGTCCGTGGGTGGGTTAGAGGTAGACCATGGGCCATAACAGGCTAGACACGCCCCTTTGCAGACCAAGAAGGAGCCCGTGGGTCGTGGGCACTTACTTCTGGGTGGTTCATCGGCGGCCCAGGGACACCGCACAACCTCCAATGGGAGGTCGGCGCATGCACCGTTGTACCAGTAGAAACACGAAGAGCAATCGTCATCATACCGGACACGGCGTTGTCTGCGATGTCCTTGAAACAAACACGTCTCTCTGTACTCGACCGTTGTCGGGACCACACAGATAACACGTGCAGAAACGGTCTTGAAGGCATCGACGGGAATGGCGTGGTATGCTGTCCACTGGGTTGTGGGCAATGCGGAGGATCGGGGTGCACCACGTCTGGAGCTGCGGCCGGTCTTGACGGTAGTTCGTGCTGCGGGGGATCGATAAAGGCTAGCGACGAATACTGCGACGAGACCAACGAAGCCCCGAGCATAATTGGAAGCCGCCCCACGCCCGGTGAGTTCAGACTAAAGCACCACCCAGGGAACAATCAATGTAAATTTATTGCTGTGGACTATGAGACTCTAGTTGTACCAAATAACGTAGGCCTCTCTCGACCAACTCGGCGAGTTCAGAGCTGAGGACATCATGACGTACAAAAGTGGAGATCGTGGGGTGTTCATGGATCTACGGACATGGTGGATACATTACCCGTACGTACAAGTGTGACGCAGATGGTGTAGAACCTTTCAGGTAGGGGTACGGTGATGAAGCACCGGGACCCCCTTTGTTGAGTGCAGCAGCCGTGCTGCTACTCTCTCTCTCTCTCTCTCTCTCTCTCCTCCTCCTTTCCGAGCACGACAGCGTCCTGGGTATGGGCGTTGTCTCACCGTCTGAAGTTAATACACTATACACAAACAAGTCCCGATAAGTACGCGGAGTACGGCCGACAAACACTCGAGGGATAGCCGCATCGGGTGATGTCTGCGTCGGACAGCGGTTCCGTCCGAGGGCTGGGGGAAGAGACCTCAGCCACACAACAGCAACACGCCGAGAATCCGGCGATTACGAGGCTGGAGGGCCAGTTATCGCAGCTGATGAGCGTAGTGATGGAGTTGAAGAGGAAGGCGCCTGGTGACGCCGTGGCGGGCGATGCCAGTAGGGGCGGCGGTGCTGCCGTCCCAAGCCAGAGAGGGGCTCTGCCGCCCGGGGGCGGCGGGGCATTTCCGTGGGAAACGGCCCGTGATGGGCGAAATCACCCGCGGGAAAGCAGCTGGGACAACATACCGGGAGCGAGTCCTGGGGTTCCAGCGAGAGTGACGGCTGGCTGGGCAAGTAGATCGGGAGCGAATCCTGAGGGGCTAGCCGGAATGAGCCCGGGCGTAGGACCGGACCGCGGGGAAGCGAGGGGGTTAACCCCCCAAGGTGAGCAAACCGCAATTCGAGGGGCCGGAGCATTTTTCGATGGGTACAGCAGCAGTAGCCAAAAACGTGTTACGGTCAATGCCCCGCGTCTCGAATGGGAGAGTCGCGGCCACGGGTACGACTCGTGGAGAAAGGCACTCATTCAAGCCGCGAAAACCGTAGGCTTGGACGGGCAGCTTATCGGCAAGGCCGAGAAGCACGCACCCGTCGGTGACCCAAACAGGCCTAGCTCGGAGCTGTATAGCTTGGGCTACACAAGTGATGAGGTTCAGAGGGGCCTCCAGGCGTTCCACTTTGTGACTACAGCCATCGTCCGAGAAGCCGACAAGGCAATCGTGAATAAATGCGAGACCGCAAAGGAAATTCTTGCGGAACTCGACAGAGTACACAACCCGGAGTCGCAGGGCTCGAAACAAGCCCT